GCGTCATTACGTCACATCTGTACACACACACATCTGTACACACACACATCTGTACACATAAAGAAGAGTCTCGGCTAGTCGGCTGTGAGTGTGAGGATGCTGGAGGTGGAGATTTAAAGCCTTTTCTCAAAGCACTTGATATAAACGTATAGGAAACTTATTATATAAACTTAAAACTATAAACTTATTAATGTGATGGCGGATCCAGAAAGGTTCAAACGATGATCACCAGCGACAACTAGAGACTCACCCTCTGTAACATGCAGAAGACTTCGGACTGAGAGTTTGGAAGAAGAGACTGCAACCGGCCCAATGTGAAAACAAGGATAATATCAGAAGGGCATTAAATGTAGTCACGCAATGCTGATGCTGTGAACATTAACAATTTGAGAACAAAGTATAATTTGCACGGTTTGACGTGATATGATAAGCGATCGATAGATTTAATCAGCGCGATTTACTGTAAAGCTTTTTTCCCTTAGTTGGCCAGAAAAGTGGATGTTACTCACTTGTTCAGACATTTCCCGGTGAAAATTATTATGTTGGTCATACTTCCCAAAGTATAATCTGTGATTGTGAATGCCAGTATCCACACCGGCGGCGACTGACACACACACACTCTCCTCAAACACTGTGTTCATCCGCGCTGTGCCGCGCCGAGGCACAACTCACGTAAAGCTGATAATTCCCTGAATAACTGCAATTGCAGATTTCGAACTGAGATGGCGACAAAGAGGAAAAACTACGGACTGCAGCTTTAAAGCCCATCTTTCAAGTTGAAGATCCCTGTGAATAGACGTGTAGATAAATAGTGTAGGAACTCGATTTGCGTGAAGAAATTAATCATAAATGTGCATTAAAAAAAGTTTGCGAAATTTCTTCTCTTTGCCTGGACAAAACGTATCCAAGCACGGAAATCCTTGTGTTTCTTGTTTGGAAATCGGTGGACCCGATGACCAGACAAGTTGGAGTGGTTGCATCCAAAACAAACACAAGAATTCACCATTGTGACAATTCAAACCTACTCAACTATAACGATAACTAACTTACAAGCTCTATTTTCTGTACCACCTCTCAGACTACGTAAACCCACACTGAGAACCAGGGCAGCAACGCCTATTTGTTTGCCTGTCGTTGCGTTAAATGACGCGTTCTCTGGAAAAGGGCGTTTTTTTTAGCCTAGCTTAGAATAGGTACACTTTTTTCTTAATTTCTGCCTGTGGGTGTTGTAAAACATATGTATTCTTATGTATGTCTTTTTAAATTGACATTTTCATACAAGATTCTGTATAAATTAAGTTATACAATTAAATTGAAAGATGGCCTTTAAATTCGAGATTTTATATGAATATTATTATGTTATATAATAAGAAATCATATACTGAACATATGCTCTTCTCCTCCACCCTGCTGATTAACAAGGCCAAAAATTCCTCCTGGATGTCCACACCTCATCTCCCCCCTATCCAAACATAAGATCATCATACAGTAAACTCTTCCGAAATCATTTCCTGATCCAGTGCCACGACTTTAGCAAATCAACCGCATTTCGACTTCTAAAACCCTTTAATTATGAGATACAGGTCATTATATCAGTGCAGAAAACACTCCTCTGGGCGTGAGACGGGCCTGTGTTGTTCACAGGAGCAAGTATGGACACCCAAACCTATTCAAAGAGCTTCAGAAAACCAAACTCTGAGTCATAAAAACTCAACTCAACACCCTCTCCTCGGGCAACAGAAACACACAGGCGTCGAAATTAAGCCATGAGGAATCAGTGCAACACTCCACGCCGGTGGACAGAAAAGAGTCCGCTGCATTGAGTCTGTTTTGTTCCAGGACAAGGATCAGTTTCATGATCCACTTTGCACAGGTGTGTGTCTGTACACATTTGCATTGATCAGTTTAAGCATAAATACATGTAAAAGCATGAATGAATGTAAGGTCATTTGTTATTGCAGTTCCACCAGAGGCCTGTAGGTGTCAGGAGTCTTGTGTTTCACTTTCTGCTGTTTCAGTCACACACACAGATCAAGCATATCTCAGACATTTTAGAGAAATCATCTCGAAGACATCTGTATGAACATTATTTGAGTGTGTGTGTGTGTTCTTGTGTATATATGGTTTATGAGAACACATTTCAATTTCAATTTATTAACGGATAGCCCCTTGAGATGCAACATCTCATTTTCAAGAGGGTCCAAATACACATATACACTCACCTAAAGGATTATTAGGAACACCTGTTCAATTTCTCATTAATGCAATTATCTAATCAACCAATCACATGGCAGTTGCTTCAATGCATTTAGGGGTGTGGTCCTGGTCAAGACAATCTCCTGAACTCCAAACTGAATGTCAGAATGGGAAAGAAAGGTGATTTAAGCAATTTTGAGCGTGGCATGGTTGTTGGTGCCAGACGGGCCGGTCTGAGTATTTCACAATCTGCTCAGTTACTGGGATTTTCACGCACAACCATTTCTAGGGTTTACAAAGAATGGTGTGAAAAGGGAAAAACATCCAGTATGCGGCAGTCCTGTGGGCGAAAATGCCTTGTTGATGCTAGAGGTCAGAGGAGAATGGGCCGACTGATTCAAGCTGATAGAAGAGCAACTTTGACTGAAATAACCACTCGTTACAACCGAGGTATGCAGCAAAGCATTTGTGAAGCCACAACACGCACAACCTTGAGGCGGATGGGCTACAACAGCAGAAGACCCCACCGGGTACCACTCATCTCCACTACAAATAGGAAAAATAGGCTACAATTTGCAAGAGCTCACCAAAATTGTACAGTTGAAGACTGGAAAAATGTTGCCTGGTCTGATGAGTCTCGATTTCTGTTGAGACATTCAGATGGTAGAGTCAGAATTTGGCGTAAACAGAATGAGAACATGGATCCATCATGCCTTGTTACCACTGTGCAGGCTGGTGGTGGTGGTGTAATGGTGTGGGGGATGTTTTCTTGGCACACTTTAGGCCCCTTAGTACCAATTGGGCATCGTTTAAATGCCACGGCCTATCTGAGCATTGTTTCTGACCATGTCCATACCTTTATGGCCACCATGTACACATCCTCTGATGGCTACTTCCAGCAGGATAATGCACCATGTCACAAAGCTCGAATCATTTCAAATTGGTTTCTTGAACATGACAATGAGTTCACTGTACTAAAATGGCCCCCACAGTCACCAGATCTCAACCCAATAGAGCATCTTTGGGATGTGGTGGAACGGGAGCTTCGTGCCCTGGATGTGCATCCCACAAATCTCCATCAACTGCAAGATGCTATCCTATCAATATGGGCCAACATTTCTAAAGAATGCTTTCAGCACCTTGTTGAATCAATGCCACGTAGAATTAAGGCAGTTCTGAAGGCGAAAGGGGGTCAAACACAGTATTAGTGTGGTGTTCCTAATAATCCTTTAGGTGAGTGTACATAATACAACAGGAAAAACGGAAAAAAAACAAAGAACAATTGAGTTAAGCAGCTTATACCCTCGCCTCACCCCAGACCGAAGACACATCATAGCTCAGACAATAAGTACATCTCATTTACCTCATTACACAATTATGACTATTATTACAAAAAATAAATAATGACATGGGTATTACGACTTTATGAGGACATCTCCTGTGTCCTCAAATCAATCGGTCAGTGTGTGTGTGTGTGTGTATGAGTGAATGTGTGTGTATACTTACTAGAGGTTGTGTATCATGTATCATATAATTAGAGCCGAGGGTCCAGTGTCTCTGTGGGAGTCTGAATATCTGTCCATACTTCCTCTCCTCCTCCACAAAACCTCCCCTTTCTTTCGAATCTTCTTTGAACCCCACAACAGATGTGTGTGTTTTCAGCACACGACACACGGATGTTTCTGTGTTCAGAGAACTCCCCGATCAGCATTCTTGTGAAGTTTCGGTCCATGATGTCAGGAACGAACACACACGTGCTGTGATGGAGAAACACACACCAGCTCTTCAGACCTTCAGCAGGGGTTATCTGACTCCAGAGTTAGAGAAGATCGAGAAGAACATATGAACAGATGTGTGTCTGTATTTGTACAGATGTGATCAAATTGCTGACAGCCCGCACGAGTTTCACTTAACACACGATCAAGCAAACTCGAAGTCCTTCAAACCGGATTCACTGATTCATATTTTTTTGCTTATATTATCTTGTCCCAAAAACGTTTATATTACAGTAAAAAAAAAAAAAAAAACATCGATTTTTAATAACAATTCAGTGAAAAATGCAATGGGAGTACAGCAAATACTAACATAATAAATACTTTTAAATAGTATATAATTTAAATAAAGGAATAAATAACTAAAACAATTATTCACATTTAAAAAAAAAAATATATATATATTAAATATATTATATATAAATATCAATATAATAATTTATACATATTAATTTAATAATAAACAACTTATCACATTACAGTAAGAAAATTTACATTTTATATTATTTCACTGTATATTTGAAGGACAGCAAGTGCAAATAATGCAAATGATGCAAAATAATTTAAAATAGTTTATCATTGTTATTAAATAAGTAAACATTAAATAAATAAATATTATAATTGTTATGTAAATAATATATATATATATATATATACATATTAATTAATTATTATTATTATTTATTTATTTACTTATTTAATAACAATTATATACTATTTAAAGTGTATATATATATACTACATAATCCATTATAATATTATTAAGTAATATTATTAATAATATTTATAGATTTTTTTAATAATGATAATTAGACTTTTTTGCATCAGGGGAAGATGTGCTTCATTGTCATGAAAATATTGCTTAGTGGTCTGAAAAGTAGACAAAATATAGATTGATTTCTTCTGAATGTTGAATGTTCATGATCTGCTGTCGGTAAACACCGCATGATCTCAGTGTGTGTCACACGTCAGATCTGATGTGACGTCACCGGGAGGGCATTACACGATGCTTTGAAGGAGTTTGAACATCATCAGTAACTTACCGATGCTGTCACTGAAAAGAGGCGTTTCGCGCGCGTCAGCGGACTGAAGTTTCTCTGTGTGTGTGTGTGTGTGTGTGTGTGTGGATCATCTCACACTGACTGTGTGCTTTCCCTATCCCACAGCAGTTCCTCCTGGAGCCTGGCGTTTGTTTCCAGCACTTTGGAGTGTATTTGCATCGGTCGAGCTGTGATCTGTGAGTCCAGTGCATCGGTCAGGTCGGAGCTGAAACATGAGCGCGAGTGGAAACGCGATGTTCGAGATGCGTTTAGCGGACGACCAGATTAAAGTTCTGGAGGAGAATTTCACGAAGGTCAGCAAACATCCCGATGAAACCACGCTGATGCTGATCGCGGCGGAGTGCGGGCTGAGCGAGGAGGAGACCGCGGTGAGTTTAGCGGGAGATCCTCTTTACTAGCGACCGACGCGACGCGATGAACTACTGGAACGATTGAAAGCCGCGGCGCGTTCATTGGTCGATTGGGCGCGTTGCCGTTTTGCCGCGTCTTTCTGATTGGTCGAATTGGCTCGTGTTTTTTTTTTTTTTTTTGCGTTGCCTTTGACGCAGGAAAAAAATATATGTATATATAATAATTAATAACATTATATTAAATATAATAATAACACAACATAACACGCAAATGTGATTGATTGTCATGAAAATATTGGTTTTTATCTATCTATCTATCTATCTATCTATCTATCTATCTATCTATCTATCTATCTATCTATCTATCTATCTATCCATCTATCTATCTATCTACCCATCTACCCATCTATCTATCTACCTACCCATCTATCCATCTATATATCTATATATGTATCTATATATCTATATAGGTATCTATCTATCTGTCTTTCTATGATTAGTATTTTTTATCATAAGCATGTGCCTCTAGTTTTAAAATGTCAAAATCTGTCTTCAATATTAGAGATATGTCTTTGAATGTTTTAATGTAGTCAGAATTATCCTAATAAAATCAAAATTATAATTAAAAGTTCATAATTTATTTAATTATAATAATAATAATTATTAATATTATTTAAAACATGATGCATGTGTCCAAAAATACAATAATACCATGGAACGTTTTTGCTCAGTTTACTTCAAACAACATATGGCTTATGAGCTTTTATTGCCTGACTTTATTTGATCAGGGAAAGTTTATGATAACAATAAATGTTAAAGTGAATAGTAGCATAAGCCTGCCTCCGGAGAGGTGTTGTTCTACAGGTCTTTAGGTTAAAACACACAATGTAAGTTCATTAATCAACCCGTCTAGGGTGTGAACGCACTAGTTTGCAGTTCCACAGGAGATATGTCACCACTAAGCCACATTACCATGATGCAAGCTTCTCTTCTGCATTGTCTTCATTCCGGTTTTGCTGTCAGCAGCTCAAAATAACACACTGACAGCATTAAACGCCGAAGGGGGTGTTTGTTGGTGTGTGACACTGACCATAAACAAAGTGTTGGAACACAATAGGCGACCCGAGCGCCTTTCCTCTTACGGACCGGGTCGACGTGTTCAAACACATTATTTATTTATTTTTTATTATTTATTTGAATGTTACATAAGCTCATGTTCCATATACTACAACATTTTAGCCGAGGCTAATTCTCAATGTTAGTCCCTAGTGGGCCTTTACATAAAATTAAACAATACATAGTTAAAATAAACATAATAATACAGTATAAACGCAGAGGTCACATTTCTGACCTCTGATTAAAGAGTCTTTAAGTTTGTATTTGAAAAGGACCCAGTTTGATTTCTAAAAGCAAACCCACACAGGAGTCCTGATGTAACGGGGCAGTTACACTGACAGTGCTGTAATGCGACGTCTTATCTAATAGATATTTTAGGGCTTGTGAGCCGCGGTTTGGCAGATTGTTACTGGAAACACATTCCATCATGAGGCTGGTCTGTTTCTGTCACTGTGATTGTGAAAACCCAGTGCATTAAATGAAAACGCCTCTGCGATCCATCATACACACACACAATAGAACAGGATTAGTAATCCAGGGGTGTGTGAATGTATACAGTGCACTTAAATACTTAAACATTGCTTATGTTCTCGCTAAAACATGCCCACTATACCATTCAGAAGTTTGTTTGAAAGAAAGAAATTAATACTTTGATTCATTACGGAAGCATCTAAAAAATGCAGGGTTGTTTCTTTCAACCCAAATTTGGGTTAAATATGGACAAACTCAACCGTTGGGTTAAACATTTTAAGTAAAACATTTAACCCAACAGCTGGGTTTGTGCATATTTGACCCAAATTTGGGTTGAAACAACCCAGCATTTTTTAGAGTTGTTACAAAAGATTATATTTTAAAAAAATGCTGTTCTTTTGAACTTTCTATTCATCAAATAATCCTGATAAAATGTGTCACAGTATGATTGATAATTATCATAAATGTTTATTGAGCATCAAATCATCATATTAGAGTGATTTCTGAAGGATCATGTGACTGAAGACTGGAGTAATGATGCTGAAAATTCAGCTTTGATCACAGGAATAAATTACATTTTACGATATATTCACATAGAACACAGTTATTTTAAATGTTAATAATATTTCACAATTTTACTGTTTTTTGTTTTTTTGATCAAATAAATGCAGGCTTGTTGAAAAATTACATTTTACTATACATTCACATAGAAAACCTCTATTTTAGATTGCAATAGTATACAGTATATGCACTAAATCCTCCAGGAAGTTTAGCGTGTGCACTGCCTCCTCTATGGCTTCATTTCTTAAGCAAATATGACGCCGGGAAACTGGTTTGAATAACAAACTCTGTCCTGGTTCGGGGGGAAATGATGTCAGCGCTTTGCATTAGAAGACTAAAACGCAAAAGGTGCGGTATGAGGAACAGGTAAACAACACTTTCTCTCTCTCTACTGTAAACCGGTCATGCCTGCTCGCCGTGTTGGCTATTAACACAGTGTGTGTGTGTGTGTACGAGGGGATGGATACTGTAAGTGTTTGGCTCCGGGTCAATCCTGCTTTACTTCTGCAGAAATGCTGTTTAAACACACCCCGTCTGCTGAAACATTACTGTTTTTTAGGCGGGCAAACAAAATATTACCAAAGAGGGGGGTTTTATATAGTGCTTTTTATATCCTGTGGTGGTTTTTTGTGGAAAGCACTGACAGTTCTTGCAAGTGTGTTGCAATGATAGTGTTAAAGATCATTGTCAGAGCTGTTGTGCAACTGTCCATTTCTATGAAAATCAGCTAATTTGGGATACGCTTATGTTTGTAAAGCCTCGGTTTCACAAATCACACGTGTGCTCTCTGTTAGGAGTTATAAAACATTAAAGCACACGAGACAGGAGTAGCGAACTTCATCTGTCTTGTTAACTCTTTCACTTTTGTTCTCACACATTACAATAAAAATAAATATATATATATATATAAATAGTATTCAACAATACGATTCTTTTCATGAACAGAAAAACCTGTCTGAGAACTGTCAAAATCCACTCATTGTGTTAAGAAAACAAAAAAGCTACAATTAATATAATTATGGAAGCTTGTTTCCACCATTGAATAAAAAAGGTAATTTTGACGACTTATATTACAATTCTGATTTTAAAAAAAGTCAGAACTGTGACATTAGAAGTTGGATTTTCAAGAAAAAATGGCAGAATTGCGCGTAATAATCTTGAAATTGCGTTAAAGTAAAATCAAGTCAGAATCGCGAGATATAAACTCGGAATTTCAAGAAAAAAAGTTGCGAGAAATAAAGTCAGAATTGCGAGATAAATTTGTAAACGCAAGAAATATGGTCAGAATCACAAGATATAAAC